CTGTAATTAAAAAAAATATATATAAATAATACTTCTGCTTTGTGCATAAACACTGTAATATTTTTGCTACCCTATAAAAGGAAGGAAAAGAATGAAGCAAGTTAGTTACCATTGCTTTAAAGGAAAAGGTAAAAAAAAAATTAAAAAATACAGCTCATCACGCTTTTAATGCTCTGAATGTTTCAAATGTACAATACAAAGAATTAGAGATTAACAGGAAAATAATATTTTTCATTCTCCCACATATTGTACTGCCTTCAGCATAGTACATTTCAGACCAAAAGATTAAGGAAGTGCAGGTATTCTGCTTGTAAGGAAAGATTGACTTTGACGGTATCAAAGTGAGTGTTTTCATCTATTCCTCTCTTTCCAGGCTAATGTAGCAAACCAGCTTCTTAGAAAAAAGGTGTCTGAAATTCTTTACCTTCCCTTCAAACTTCTATAGTAGTAATAATTAAAACCCTACTTGGCTAAAGCAAATAAAACAAATGTGGTATAGCACGGACAGGTATTAGTTCATCTTGAACAGGACATGATCTTGATTATTTAATCTGTTGTCCACAATGGTATACACAAATTCATTATGTGCTACAGTGTATTATTTTTCAGCCTGTGGAAATGAAGTTCAGCTGGAGCGAGTATGTGAATGCTGAAACTTTTGAAAGAATAAAACGTATCTGTAAATCTTAAAAAGTTTATTAAAATGTCTTCAAAAAAAGCATATTTGCCTGTAAATTCTACCTTTCCTCAAAGTTTCAAATGGATACAACCTCATTAAGATCAACAAATCAACAAATTTATTCCTTCTTGACTTATTGCTATGAGTGAAGAATGACACTCAAGATAGAAATTCAGTATTTATACATTTTTTTTGTAGCTTTTGTTTTCTATATACATTTTACAATGTATACATTTACTTTAGGTCTCAAAGTTTTAATATACCATCTGCTTCATGATATCAAATTGGTTTGATGCTTTACCTTACAAAAATGCATTTTTAGTAGCCTACTGGTATCTATTCATCCAGGTTTTGCGGACCATATGTGTAGGGATAACACTTTTAAATTTCTCAATCCTTTCAACAAAATGCTATCTAAAATCTCAGCAACAAGTAAATACAAAATACAATTAAAATTTTATTGGCAACATTTTCATTTTACTGCTTCATTAGAAAGTCAAAATAAGGGCAAATAAAAAGGCATGCCCTATAAATAAGCTTTTTCTAGTCTTACCCAATTTAGGTATTTCCACTTGTTATGATACCATCAAAATAAAATCTTTGAAAATCCAGCACACTATAAAGTTGAGAAACATATTTTCCACTTGTACAATATGTACAATAAAAACTGTAACACAACATGTTTTATTTTCAATGAATTGTTTTACAGCATATATAGAATTCTTAATTCCTTAAGAATTTCACATTCATTGACATCAAAACAAAAGATGTTCTATGGAATAAATAAAAAAAACATATTAGGTGCTGGCTTAGTCTAAATGTAACATACTTTTATGTAACCTTTATTCTAAAAGTAACATAAAAGTATGGTATTGAAAAAGCATTTAGCCCACCCATATCATCCTATAATAATCCTATAAAAACACAAACATTTCAATATGTGTATATACTTACATACATTATTTGTGTATATACACACACATTGAAAAGTTTTTTATATGTGTTTATAGACACACTCATTTTTAAGTCAGGACACCTCACAGTCATTTTAAAATTCAGTTCAAACTATTTGGTGATTTTAGGTGGTGATTTTTAGTTTTCCAATCAGAAAAAGGAGGAAACCACTCTTACATTTGATTTGGTATTTGAGATCTAGTTACAAAATGTATTAACTGCTTGCTAAATATAAGGAATTTTCAGGTACCTGTTATATACATTTTTTTAAGGTTTCTTGTTTGTTTTGTTTGGGTCTTTTGTGGATGGCGGCTTTTTTTTTTGTTGTTGTTGTTTGGTTTTTTTTTAACTAACATTCCAAAAATGCAAAGTTGTATAAAAACAGAGTCACTCAGGAAAACTCAATAAAACTGCCAATCTTTTATTGCATGGCACAGCTTTCATGATTATGGCTTTGTGCCACATATGATTGAAAACATTTACTGGACTCCACTGATTTAAAGACATACTACTAACAGCTTCCTGAGGAGATTTTGGAAACTGTGGTTTGCCAGACCCTGCTTGGTTTCAATGCGCACAGTTCTGACGAAGTTAGGCATAAGCGCTTATTTGAGTTTAAGAGAAGAAGCTAAGAAGGTATGAAAATATATTCTCATAACCACACATGCGATTGCAGAAGTGACCATAATATTTAATTTCAGGGCAGCATTGTAGCATATTGGTACTGTATTATGGCTATAATTACGTAGTAAGATAAAATAATGGTTTAATTCAGCTAGAAAATTAAGAAGGAAATGTTTTGTATGCAACAAGAAATATTTTCTCAATAAGAAACTACTACTTTTCCTACTTGACATCACAAAAGTTAATTTGGTTCACCACTAACAGCACTAGTTGTTCAACAAAATTATCTAACCAGAGGAAAGATAAAGAATGAGCTCCTCTTTCATACCCATCCACTCACACCTTGTTCAGACATGTTTTTGCAGTTAGCCATATAAACAACATAGAAATTCTGATGCATTTTGGAAAATAAATCTTGGATTTGCTAGATTAATATATGTTTGTCAGCTCCTAAGACAAATACCCTTTTCTAAATATCTGTTTTAAAAATATCAGATTGTATGTTTTAACTGAGAACTCTTCAATTGTTTAGTATAGGAATATACCACTAACACCCTTTCAAATACAACCCCTGCCATGGTTAATATTTCACCTATTAACATATAGGACATCTTTAAAAAATATACATGTATTAAAAAATAGACAATATGCACAATCTACTTTATACTAGGATGTGACAGAAAACATATTCCAATTAAAATTCAGTTTTAAAAGAAAATAAATACATCTGTATGCATTTTGCTTTAAATATAAGTAAAATTCTGCTCTTCCTGAAATGAATAGCAACATTTGCATTATTTTGAGATATTCAGTTGTAACATTATTTTTCTTTTTGTGACAACTGGTTGAAACTTTTATTTAAAAAAGAGAAAATTACTTTAAAAATCAAAACATAGGATTTTTTCTTCCCCCCCCCGTTTAGGCCATTAATCTTGCTATGAATTTGTAATTCTTTACCTGTTTCCTGCATTCACTCAGTTTTCCCTTGTATATATATTGGAATGTCAACTCTTTACAGCAAACACTGATTGTATTGTATACTAATACAGTTGCTAGCATATTAGGCCACAGACCTGTAGGTGCCAGTACAACTGAAATAATACTTTTTTGTTGTTGTTTTGTTGAAGCCTAAAATCTGTACGGTCACTAAGTTACAAGTTATAAAATGATACAACAAAATACTTAAGCCTTGACTGTGGTTATACAAACAGAAACTGAAATCAAAGAGTATCTGGTTTTGTTACCTGCATCACCACCATCTTAAGTACTCAATGTCTGTCAGAGAAACTGGACAGTGCTCTTACTTCCTTTCACAGATAAGAAGATCAGACAGTAATTTGGATGTAGATGGGAGAAACCTAACTACTACTCAAAATAAGTGCTCTGAGCTACCCAGTAAAGGTATCTTTGAGACTATTCAGGAAGGTTAGGTTTCCAGGTTTGTGTGCATGCTCCTGGCTATGCTGAAATTCGTACTGCAAAAAGGAGACTGAGTATCTAAAGCAATTATGAACATAAGCTTAAAATACATTTGCAATTTGATTTTTTTCAAATGCTATAGAGAGAAAAAACTGGAAGGAACTTGACTTTTATTTCATGCTAAATGGATTTTATAAAAAAATTAAGGATTGCAATTATGATATTTGCTTACTCACAAAGTGAATTAATTACCTCCACAGTCATTACTCTCATCCTATTTTCATTACCATTACCAAGCTCAAAATCAGGCTTAGAAAGTTTAATACTTCTACCCTGAAAAGGAATCAAGCTGTAACAAAAGTAAAAGAAACAAAGTAATTCCACTGCATGTTTTCACTAATACATTACTATGTCTTCAAAAGCCTTGACAAAGGTGCAAGAAATTGTGGTGCTTAAGAAGGACTCAAACTGGAAAGCAGTTTGTTGCCCTCAGTTCCCAGCAGTCAGCAGAGATTTGGTAAACTCTGCACTTGGGAGAAGGTTTACTGGTACATGTGGGATCTCAGCCACTACATTACAGAGGAGACAATTCAAATTGCTTTAACTTAGTGGCTCATATGCACCCTTGAACACTGCAAAGTCCTAGACTCCTAAACTCAACTAATTCCTTAATCTTTTTCCATTTACTGACAACACACTTGCATAACCCCATGCTACACTCATCATTATCACCTACAAGTCCTCTGATTTACCAAACTGCAAGTCCTGGCTCAGTTCTGAGAGCTGAATACCATCTACTGTGGAATGTCGGATGTTCAGTGATTATGCTATGCCACTTCTCATCCCCCTCCCTTATGCTGAAATGAGATAATCTGCACTGAGCAGCTATGAGTGTACAACAACACATGCAAAGTACCTTCACAGGAAGCAGAACAATGATCAAACACACTGACACTTCATTTCCCGTCTCCCCAGTCCTCATTTGCACCCCTCTCACGTAAACACATCCTCTCTGATGACATGTTCTCTGGTTATATTATCTTCTCACTGTCTTAGGAAGTGGGAGGATGGCAATCACAAACTAACATTTTATGTGCCACCCAGATGATTGAAAGTATTTACCTGGTGAACTTAGGGGGATGATGAAATGCATGCTGACTGGCTGGACAGTAAGAATTAGTACTTGATGTAGCTGTTATGCCAATTAGAGTAAGCACACATAAGGAGGCATGGCTTTAAGTTGAAAACTCCACATAGTGGTGTGATATATGCCAGCACTAAATTGCACCAGAAAAGAAAATGTCTCATTATCCAAACAGCATAA